AAACTTACGAAAATGAATTGTTAAGACCAAGATAGAGAAAGTGGTTTCACAAAACTTCTTCTGAACGTAAAGTTTCGGTTTTTGTTCATGTATAGCTAATGATTCAACTCTGGACAATTTGTGGAAACGTAGAGCTTTGGAGCAGTTCAATTCAACTTTGCAAATTATCTTCAAGGATAAATCTCGTAGAGCCTAATGATCTAACTCCACTAGGTGTTAATATATGGATGAAGTTGCTTTTCTTTGCTCGCTTTCAAAAAGCCTAGCCGGGTAATGTTTTGTAACGCGTTTTCAGAAGGCCCGCCCACAATGTCCAATATAGTTAGCTTCACGGGAGCTTGTAAACTTACAGATACACAGGGACGCGGACATACTTTGTCGAATCAGACGACAGCTCTAGAATATCAATCTCAATGTAGCAGAATAAAAGATACTACTGATACACTTCGATAGACGGCTTTTCAACACTTTGGCTATGGTGTCGCCTCTTAATTCTAATTTCATCAATTTTTTTTGGAACTGCCTGTTTAACAGTAAATCTTCCACTATTCAGTAGTGTTGTTCTAAGAGTTTAGTACAGTTATCTGATATTTTACTGATTATAAATATCACTGTACAGCTTGATGATGAAGTTGTTGAAAAGAAATATTTCTTCACAAATGTATATCTTGTTCCTTTACAGTTATTTTAAAAGTTAAAGTTGTTCACTGAATCTTGTTGAAAGCGAACAGAAAGCCTCCTAAGCATAGTACCCAAATCATCTGTTTGTCAGTAGTCAGGTACTCAGAAAAAGGATAGTTAGTGGCTGTGAACATGACCTGTTGAAAATACTTAATAAAAAGCATACGTCATATCGGCCTTGTAGAGATTGTTGCAAGCAATCATTAGGCATCAATGCAAAGACTGTAGTGATATTACTTTCAGCCAATCGCTAAAACTAGAAAAATAAGTGAAAAATATTATTTGAAGCCTTATTCATTTAGAGCTTCTATGACTTCCCAGGAAGTATGAAACCTATATCCAGAGCTTTCAGCCAATTACCACTAACTGTCGACCGTCAATATATGTACCAATGATATCCCTTTTTTTCTGATCAAATAAACAACATCCACACTCTCTGTATATTTTCCTATTTAAAGGAAGATGATTTTACACTGAAGATAAATCTGTCTATACAGCCATTGTTCAGTGAATATTTATTTTCACCTTCAAAATAATTTCTATAGTAGTTCTTCAACAATGGTCACCACTGTCTATTAATGCAAAACAGATGCAACTGTCAAAGTGGAATGTCTGTTCTTTGTGGAAAAGATTTCAGTTTTATTGTCAGTTATACTTTATGCAACAACGATGCAACAGCATCCTGACCAATTTTTCATAAAAACTACCGGAGAAATGTACAATCGATTAGGGTTTTCAACTAAAATACATTTCAGCCCAAAGTCTTTTTCAACTTGGTTAGGAGTTTGTGGGGTTTAACAGATTTTAGGATGGTAATCATCATTAACTGACCCAGGACTCTTCGGTTTTTAGCACCATTTGAACTCAAAGCAAATTGAAAGTTTCAGAAAAAGCTACAATAAATGTCACTGTTTCCAGTCACTTACTCAGCAAAAATAAATACATGGCTCGTTTTAAAAAGGAACACTGAATAAGTGCCAAAAAATACTATTCAACTAAGTCTCTCTATCCGAACTTTCAACACCAACGTCAAGTCAGTGCTGCTATACGCTTCAGAAAGTCGGCGCATCCCGAAAAGCACCTCCAACAAAGTAGTGATATTCATCAACGGCTGCCGCCTACGCTGGCTAGATACAGACACTGAAGATCAGATGAGAAGGCAAGAAATAATATACAACAAAGAAACTCTGGCTGGCAACGAACCAACCAACAACCTATCACCCAACAAATATGCAGAGGAAGGAAGTGGAGATGGATTGGATTGGACATACACTGAGATGACCATTTGAGTACATCACATGCCAGGATGGACGAAGCCGTCGAGTGGAACCCAAATGGGAAACGGTGAGTTGGGTGTTTAAGGCGAGGGTGACATGGGGGAGGATGGTGTGAGGAAGAAATGAGAACTTGTGGGCAGTTGTGGAGCCAGGTTTTGGAGACTGTAGAGAAGTGAGTGTAATGGTGACGTGCTACTGAAGCCCTATGTTGTATTAGGAATCCAAGGGAAAAATAATAATAATCATACACTTGAGAATACTGGGTTGTATCATGCTCACTAAAATTCTTGGTAACAAATAAAAAACGTTTGTCAATTTAACCCAAATAACTGCAAATAATAACCAAGTTCTTCGTTCTTTCAAGGAATCACTAGAAATAATGTCAATATTTTTGCAAATCTTCGACTAAAATTTCATGCCTTATTGTCAAGTTTTAAGAATACCCAAAAGTTAAAGCTATCAGCTTATACACTATGCGTAAATCATTCAGTTGATAGACTTGCAAATAAACGATGGGTTTCACAGTAGTTTTCGCAAACTGATATCAGCTGGAGAAAAAAGATCACAGGATAACTGTCTTTTTTATTTGAGACTCCTCATCAATGTACGCCGTCATTCTTCACATGAACTGAGCACAGGACATCCAGATCCTGCCCCCAACGAATTGTCATATAGTAGTTTGGTGCGTAACTGACCGACTTGGATATTATCCATTCCACTCACCATTCCTTGACACTAAATAGCAATTCTTCTCACTTCTACCTTGACTCTAGAGGTTACAACTTCGTGTTACGTCTTTCAGATGCCCATCTATAAATCTGTCATCCACTGACGAGGATTTTATATTTCCTGTTGTTCCACTCACTAATATAGAAAATCCTAAGAAGAGTTTTCGCTGAAATTGAGTGCAATCAAAGTACTACTCAATAGTACTCAAATGTACTAAAAAAAACTAAGTATTAGGATTTACTCGATTTTATTTCGATTGTCTTAAGTAGACTGTAGAAAACAGTATATTTTCACACCCTGTTTTTGTTAGACTTAATCCACAGAAAAACTGTTGTACTATTATTAGCTCGTTTTGTCATCATAGCTATTTTCGGTATAAACAGTAGTATTAGTAGGTTACTTTTACCATTTGTCTCATTGAATTCTGCAGATAAGATTACTGCTGATAGGTTTCAATGAATCATAAGTCATCTGTACCAGAAGTACAACTGGAAAGCCAAATCTCGTATAACCATTCGTTTCGTACAGACTTAGAAATCAATATTTACATTCGTCTACTATCCAGAAACCTTAAAAAACAGATGCAGGCTTACTAAGATGTATTATTTGCAGTTAATCTCCTATTGTGGAAGAACAAACAGTGATGCCATTTGTCAACGAGAATCATATATTCAAAGTACAATGGATGACAAAAATCCTGGTCTTGTAAGTTTCCATTTAAAAATCTTCTGTTCACTAGAATGCTGAATAATGGAGGTCATAGCTCCCTTCACATTCAAACAACCTGTTTGATAAAACTGTCTTTATTATTTTGACTTTCTGATATATCCGTGGTTTAGCAGACTAGTATTTATACCGGGTTAGGACTGGAGGTAAAATGAAAATGTGGACAGTGGATGTATTGGAACCAGCTACCTCTAGGTTACCGCCCCAGTGCTCCCCCTCTCTAATTTAATTAGATTTGGATTTGGATGAAAAGTCCTGACTAGGCAGTCAGTTTGAGCATGATAAAGAGGTAGTAACGTACCATGAATTCACATGATAGTTAGATAAATCTTCGCTTGTGATTGAAGTGAAATAAAAATCAGGTCAGCAATCCGGTTTCATATCTCACTCAGTAGAGCGCAGGGTCGGTAACCCAGTGGTTGCTGGTTCGAATGCCTCTACGGTCCGAATTTTCATTTTACCTTCAGCCAACATTCAGTATAAAATTGTCTTTCCCAAATTTCTTCATTTGATTCCATATTTTTCACGAAATGTTTCTTACAAATGAAATCAGTTCAATGACTTCATGTCTAGTAAAATGCGAACTAGATAGATACGACTGTTTTAATGAAAACACACTATTATCTACGATGTTAAAAAAGTTAAAACCTTCAAGAAATATAAAATATAAAGGACTCTGTTTACACCTAGATAAGTAAATATTTATATAACATTTACCAATCTTCAACACTTCTGACGTATACTGGTGAAAGATGTTTAGGGTTAACTTACTGAGAGCTTCAGATCAATTTTTTTTGTGCTCTTTGTCATACATCATAAAAGCATGTCTAAGAATTTGAAGAAACCTTCTTCTAGGGATTGTAAACTTTTGTTACTGTGTTCTTAACTCATGACCTCTATCGACAATGACTTGAAACTGTATTAGTGACCATCTGTCTACTCTTTCATACACAGATTACTCGTAATTTGTAAAGCTTAGTTATATATATGATTAGTGATGCAACTCACTGGCAAGTATAGATAATCATTAAACCTGTGTCAAGCATTGCATCCTGTTATTCAGTTTTAAAATACAAACTTAGTACACTTTAGTGTCTCTCTACTTAGCTAGTACTTATAACAGGTGTTTGAATGATTGATTTTGATGAGTGAGTACTCAGTACTTGAAAGTTTCATAAGTCACCAATGGATGGTTTGTTTGTGTAAGCTGATGGAAGCCAGCTTTTTTTGGTTCTGAGCACTAAAAGTTGCTTAGCTTTTGAAATCTAACTTCATTTTCAATAAGGTATTGTCATTCGAACTAGAAATTAGAAATACAAAATCATTCAGTTCCTTTTCATAATTTTATTCATAAAAGTATTACTCTAAAATGCTCACAGAATTAATCTTGCTTAGACAACAAGACTGTATGATCTGAATGTTTGTAATTTTGCACTAAGTTGTCGTTACTTATTTCCTTTATTATAACCGTTACCATTAGAAGCTAATTATAACTTCCGGTAATTACATGGAAAGAATATGAAAAATTATTTGATATTATCCCTATCTATTTCATTTTATCATGTTGTGTTGAAATGATGATGAATATGATAACATCAACAGCCTAGTATCTCTTATAACATTCTGTAAACGTTACACATCGTAAGTAAGACTTGGCAAATAGTAAACACTATAACAAGAACAAAGACTATGAAATAAATATAAGCGAACTATATTAATTCTTTTGACACTGTAATCTTTTGAAGCAAACAGTTTCATGTTGAATATTGGATATTTATAGAAGATAAACAAAATCTTCGTTGGTTTTTCAAATCTCTTTTGAATAATATCAATGATAAAAAACATTCCTTTCATGAGTAAAGATTCACTTAAAAAATGAATATAGTATTTATCATTCTAATTTGTATTATTTCCTGTCATTTATCAAATAGTCATTTAGTTCACGTTGATGAAGATATTGCAGATTGGTGTATAGAATATCGTCAATCATCACATCAATCATTAAACAGAGCATTTGATGTTCCACACTTGATAATACACTTGAATGAATATCTGAATGCAGTAAGTAACCTTACATTGTTTTTAAAAAAACACTTTTATTATATTTAATTTGCTTTTTTAGTTGCTTTCCATCATTGCGTATAAAACCGTCTTGTTAGCAACATGTATTCATTTAATTAATTATCTATTCGCCGGGAGAAACTGTGAATTAATGTTTGAAACACATTAGTATGCATACACTGAAAAGAAGTACAATTTGGGTATTTGGGAATGAGTATTCACCACAATAAAATCTGAAATTCTTGCGTAAACTAAAACTCATTATCAATCCGGCATGCCAGCGTTTCAAACCCTTTTATAGGTTGGTTTGTCAGGTCAAATATGTAAGTTAGCAAGGCAGAAAATTGCTAAAACCTTCAAAGAAATCGATGATATGTAAATAGTTGCATCCTTCTAATAAATAGTATACACTTCAGTCTGTCTATTAGAAATATCATACAACAGTAGCTGGGAACGGATGGACCTTCAAATATTTAGTTCTACTCCAAATATATATATACTTTCGATATATAAATGCCACACTTACACACTACTGAAATAGGAACATATCAAAAGGTTCTTGACACAAATTCAGTACTGAATACAATCCGATTTACTCGTGGCTTACAAAGTAATGAAGGCAAGCTAGCCATGTTGGATTGCAACGTTAAACGAACAGAAGATGGAAATTTATAGATAGTAGTAGTAGTAATAATGGTGACAAGGTTGAAGGAGAATCTAAAGCCTCTGCTGTGTTACCATACAAAGAAGGCAAAGCAGAAGCATTACGAAGAATTCTCAATAAGGCTGGGATTAAAGCGGCATATAAGCCAACAGACTCACTTAGGAACAAACTTTGTATGTTGAAACATCCTACTGATGCAGTGAAGTGAAATAATCTGGTTTACCAAGTCCCTTACAATGATTGCGAGGTCAAGTACATAGGTCAAAGCAGTCAACCAGAGTGGATTAGAATAACAGAGCACAAAAGCTGAACCAAGATTGGTAGATCCTAATAAGTTCGGGATTCTTGAGGAAAGCTTGCTTTTAGATATACGCTCGGCTGTGCACTGTGCGATAGAGCGACAGTATTAAAAGTTAATTTATTTGGATGGAGGGAGAGATTAATGACCAAACCTTTGTTTTTCGAATCAAGAGCAAGTATATGCAATAAATGGAAATGATTCCGTACATATCCCAGATATTTGAAAAATTCTACTACCCTTATCACGAAGAAAGAGAGGTTAGAGTTAAAAAAAAGCATTTCTCAATGTTATGGAGTTACCTGATATGAATATGAACATTATTCAGTTAAAGATACCGTTTCACTATGTGACATTTCTAAAAACACGGACTAAAATTCAATTACGATCTTCCACAATACTTCTTTTACTCCTACAAAGACTATACAGTTTTAACTTCATGATACGATAAGAACTATTAGGTGGTTGATCAGCAACAACCACCAAATTTGTAGTTGGCTTATGGTGTGATATGTCCAATTAACAGTTTCGTATTTGTATTAAAGTTAAAGAAGAAATGTTGACAATTGTTTAGTGATCAAGGAAACACGAACTAAGCCTTAAATCAATTAAACTTGTACAGTCCCATTAACCCATATTAGCTCTAAATCCCTTTGTATGTATTTTTAAGAATATCATCAAACTCATTTTTACACATACAAACAACAGTTTAAATCTTATGTTGTTACAAATGGATACAAATTTTCAAAATAAATTATAAAAAAGAGTTTTTTCATTAAAGAATTTCAAAGAAATGACATTTTCACTGTCTACACAGAGTGATACATACATATCCTTACATATATAGCACAATGGTTATTTATCTTGAATTTATGCACTGGAAACATTTATCATCACAGGTCATTTCGATGAGATTCAAGTACATCATTTAATCATTTGAATTAAATCATGAAAATATTCATCAAATAACTTCGTGTTTAGCATCAAAATGTAAATTAGTTTACAGATAATAATCAACATAATTGTGAGAAAATTTTAGTGATCACTGTGAACATATTTAGTCATAAAGTTTAGTTCAAGGGTACAGTTGCGAAGTCAAACACAGTTTCTAGACGAACTATAAAATTGTGTTACTAATTGTCTCCATTATGATAATAAACAGACTTACCCGAATTATTGGTAAGGAATGGCTTTATCAACCAAATTAGCTGCTTTCCTAGATTCGCTTGAAAATAAATTGTTTTTTTACTATTTTAAGCTTCAACTGATTGAGGTTTGGAAGGAGTGCTTTTCTTCAATTACACACTTCTTGGAGTTAAATAGCTTCCAAATATGAATTTGTACGACCAACCCCTATAAAACATTATATTCGTTTAACTTTAAAAAAGATGCCTTTGATGAGTTTACAGTTTACAGGGATTCACTGATGGAAATATTATGAAGTTTACTGTCTAATTCATGCAGTAAAATTACTCTGATATTCTATGCCATGTCATTATGCGTATGCCAAACTACCTAGTGTTTTGTCGTATTTTCACAGCATTTGGTATTTTATTCTTCCTTATTTTTCTTCTTTCATGCATTCATATAGTTTCATAGGAGACAAAAAAAGGATCTTGTTATCCCTACAATCTTTCAAAGCTATGGCAAACTGAAGCTTACGGAATGAACTTTGTCGTCAGAGGACATTTGTTCAGTTAACAAGCTCGTAATAACCATAATGCATCTAGAAATTGAATCCTTAGATTCTTTTCAGTTAAGTTATTGCTACAATTTCGCCGTTTTCCTGAAACACCTTGAACTTGTTAGTCTTATCCTTCAGCATTCCATTTTTAGTTGCGTTCTGCTCAATAATTTTCAATAAACTGTTGAACCATGTGCCTTAAGATATATATATCTTATAACCACACCGATTTCCATATAAATTATCACTTACTGCCGCTTCAACCTTGACATCAACAAAATTTTCACCAGTATAATCTACAAAATATCACCTCACATTGTAAAATGAATTTGTTTATCATGTAACAGTACAAATTTCTAAAGACGCCATTAAAAAGAGAACCTTACTGCTGAATGTTTTCATGGGCGACTTTAAATGCTACCCTGGCAACTGCTGAAATAACCAATCAGGTTTCGTTATTCCAGCTAGGAAGGTAGTTTTCCACAAAATAAAGCAGCCTAGTAGGCTATCCCAACATCACTTGACTATGCTTCAGTTTTCCGAGATGAACTCAAACAAGAATCAGTAACTGAGATTACTATGAAGGTGGCTTCAATATAACCTCAGCTATTTAGAAATCACCCACTGGTCCAAGTGATACAGTGGTAAGACCTCTGGTTCCAACCTTAGTTAACAATGAGACAGCATTACCTCATATGATATTACAAAACTTTCCGCATACTATTTGTGTTGGTAGTGCGTAATAAAAGGGTATATGTAATCCTATAAAATCTCATTCAAAATTATAAATTAATCTTTGAGTCATTTAGTAAAAAGTAGTTGGGCAACAATATTTTTACCACAAGAATAAATGCTTCAGTTTTGACTTCCCAGTGTAACAGGACTTTCCATCATATTTCAGTTGTGATTGCCTTATAAGTGTTAATAAGCGTCCAACGAAGGTTCTAGGATCATTTTGTATAAGGATTCCATTCCCAAGTACCGCCTTTTTATCCTAATAGTTTCACTGACTTTTTTGATGAATAACATTCTCCCTACACCCTGTTTATCATTAGATGACTGGTAGCCTACTGTTACGTTTAGGGTGAAAATGAACCATTATAGTGGAGGAAAATGTAAGAAAATTTTTAAAAAAACCCTAGAAATTAGAACTACTGGTTACATAAACTTTATTAGCGTGCGTACATACATATCTACTAGTTCACTTCACTTCAATTCGTGGTATACCGCCCTTTGAAAATACAAAACTACGATTTTTTTTTCAGTCACCTGATATATGAAATATATAAGCGTGTCAATCGATAGATGAAATAAATGAGAAATTTTGTGAAAATAAATTAAAATTTTGTGATAAAAATTTCCTTCTCTCTTGTCAATCATCGCAGTGGAATCACACATATATATATATATATATATATATAAATATATATGATCAGAATATTCCATTTATAAATAATGTGCTTCATAATGCACATGTAAAGTGTATATCGAGTTGTAAACAGTATTTTTTGAAAATTGGATTCTAGTATGACTGTTTATTTCCTTATTACAAACTTTGAATATTAACCTGGGAAGGTATATTTATTTAAACATTTTAATGAACAAAGTTAACCTGAATATATATGTTATCATCTTGATGGCTGAAAAGGTAAGATTTCCTTAAATTCTAATATTTTATACATCATATATAATAATGACCATGGAGTTATAAATTAGATGACTTTCAATAGAAATTCCTTTTATATCGTGTAGTATATGCAAATTTTTCAGGTTCTAATTTTTTTTTCAATAACCTTTAGTGTTTCTAAATGGTTTGTTGACCGTTAAATACACTTCACGAATTATCAATTAGTCCCATTGTATTAACTGATTGCATGAAGTATGAGTAATTTGTCAAATCTTTTATGAACTTGCAGTTGTTCAATATTGAAAACAATTAACAGTATTTGATAAGATATTTTATTGATTCTCATGGAGAACTTTTACAGATTCTAATCGTTCAACTATGTGTTATTTAGAAGATATATAAGCGAACAATATCGTTTTCAACTAGCTGTCATCAAGTCTTAACATACATAAATTTTGTCATGTATACAACATTGAACGAATAACAGTGAACTCTTTAGACTGTGGTAACGAGAAAATGAGGTATATAAATGGTAAATATCCAAATAATAATACTGGTAGTAATAATATTTATTTCAGTGATAATAAAAATAAGGGGAACAGCATGGTACTACAAACATTCAAACAATCAGTGTGGGTCAAAACTGAAAGTTACCCAATACTAAACGATGAAGTGTGTACGTAATCAAAGGGTAAATAAAGAAGTATGTCGTGATCGGTGAGGTCGA